AAATGTAAGAAATCGAGATCTGGTACTCGATTTTAATTAATTTTTATGTTAATTTCACTTTTACGGAAGAATCGATACTAAACGTCCAACACGAATATAGGTCTATTTTTTGATAACTAATAGTTACTATGTTCTTACACTGTAATTGTTACTATTAAGAGACAGGAAGTATTTGTTACTTCACTGATCGATAGAAGCTTTATTCGGTAACAATTGGATGCAATTCTCTGCATCTTGTTTATACACTTTGCGACGAATATCTCTAAAAGTTTATTAACTTTCAGAAAAAATTCGCGATAACTCTGATCTCGTGACGATGTTCTACATTTTTAAGCTCCGCCTTTTTTTTTTTTTTTATCTCAGGACGTTCCCTCACGTTTTTAACGGATATTTAAAAGTCGTGTTTCGTACAATTCGCAATATATATATATTAACCGTTATTAAGATTTTTGCAACGATAAAAAAATTTTATATCTTTTATATGAAAAATAGAATTCGATAGTTGATGATATCAATGATAATTTTTAGAAATCTCATTGTTCCACGACTATTTTTCAATTCACTTTTTATTTTACAATTCAACACAATTATTTTCTGACTGTTTTTTTCTTTTTTTTTTTTTTTTTTTTTTTATCGGAGGAATCATCTGTAAATTCATGATTTACGATCATCCTTATTTGTACTCCTTTTTTTTCCCTTGAGCCTTCGAAACGAAACGTTTACGCGATATTTTGAAAGGAACATTAACTTTTCTATGCTCTATTTTCTAAATGATTTTATAATGTATATCGAATATTATTCGTATAGTCTTCCAGAAGAAATTGTTACGAAACTGCGAATTTCTCTGTGACCAATTTGAACAATTTCACTCAACAGCTCATTGAATTTTAGAAAACTGTGCTTAAATTTTATTATTAGATGTTCATGCATTTTTAAAAGATTAATTCAAAAGTGCAAATTATAATATGTCTAAAACAGAGTAATATTAACGTTTAATAATATTTAATAGATGAAATGTGTATTTGACATTATGTTTGCACATAACTGAGGGGTCAGTACGAAATTTGAAAGAATGAAAAAATTGATTAGATTGGTCATCAGATGAATTCATAAACGTGTTTGAACGAGTGCAATAACAGATATTTTTTTCATGCGAAAAATCAAAATAGACTACGTCGATGATGATGATGATGATGATGATGATGATGATGATGGGACGTGTGAAATGAAAACCAAAGTATTAAACATCGATCTAAGTTAATTATAATACTTATGATATTCAATATGAATGTAAAACTGCCTCAACTCTTTCGCTGACTGTCGTACAACGTAGGTTTAATTAATTGTCTAAGTACTTAATTTTTATTATATCTTACTGAGAATCTCTAGACGCTTGGTTCATCGATCACGAAGTTCTAATGTCTACTTAAAAATACTACAATCTTATTCAACGAATGTGTTCCCTATTTCTGTTTTGATCAAATGTTGAATAATCAGTCGATGAACAGGGTGTTGATTTGTTAGAAATTTTAGCAAGTTAAGTTTTTAGAAACTTAATTGAATCCTTTTAATCGCGACAGATACTAGATAATGCAAATATTCGCGTAATTTTTGTAGACTTTTTTTCCCCGGTAGATCGAAATATAAAACGAATTTCGGGAAATCGAAGTTTTTTTCTTCCTTGTTTGAACACACATAAATAACTACATCTAATTGTAATTAAATGGAAATTCATTATTGTGATATTAATCTATAATTCGTATGATTTTCTCATCTGAATTGAAACTTTCGATCCTATGGAAATTAATTTCATTAAATCGATGATATTTTACAGAAGTTAATTAAAATTTGATTATATAAAATAACATTTGACAAACCTTTGCTCCAACCTATGCGCCTTTTATTTCATAAATAATATCTTTTCGACATTCAAAAAAAAAAAAAAAAAAAAAGTATTATTAACGTCCTGTTCTGTAAGTAATTTTAAAAATTCAAGTATCAAGGAAAATAAGTATTAATTTGAAAAATTGTGTACAATCGACGCGTATGTGAACGAATCGAACTTTCCTCTTACCTTCGCACGGTATTGCAATTTTACGATTGTATTCTTCGTATTTTATAATAACGATATCGTTGAATATGTTATGTTTTTTTTTAAAGGGCTACCTTTAATTAATTAAATAAGACTCAACGTGCATCAGCTTATACTTTTATACACTGTTTTCGATTTCTTTCACGCTCAGGATTCTGTCTTGTACACGATCTGCCATTACTATTAACGATTCACCAATGTACAACTGTAGCACGAAGCAATAATTGCAAGACAATAATAAACGAGAATTTTGATTAAACAAGTGAAAGTTTTATTTATAGAGAATTTGTCGAACTTTATATACAGAAGTTTCGAATTTGCACTGTACTTAAAAAAAGAAGTTATCACCTTCACAGATATCAGAATTGTTATTATTTTACAAATTTATAAATTTCTCTATTCCTCTATCTAACCAACACACTTTGTATTTGATCGTCACTTCATGAACTTGTACACACTTTTACACGAAAGTTTGCCTGTTACATTTAAAAGAATGTAATCATCATTCCCTCGTTACTTTACAAATTTATAAACTTCTGCACAAAAGTTTCTGCCACACACACACACACAC